CCTACAGAGATTTCTCGGCGAGGTTCACCGGACCGCCGTCGCTGCCGGTGTCAACAAAGTGCTCCATTGATTTCGACAACGATTTTGCCGCTCACGCGCCGCAGCTGTCCAAGTGAGAGTGACGCGCTTTGTCATTTTCTTCAGGGGGCTGTCATATAACGTGCGCCGCACCGGTTGTGCCGGGGAGATCGGAGGCCATGAGAATATAGCGTTGACTTTTCTTTGCAACAGATAAAGTATTCTATACATTTTTGCTTCTTCGTTCTTTCTGGTGCCTCTTTGGTGTTTGTTCTCCTTAAAATGCAAGGCGTTTTTATTCTGCCATTATCTCTTCTATCAAGCGTGGGAAATTCTTCATGTGTAGAGAAAGAAAGGCAGTCATGTTCTAATCCTGCTTTTATTGGGGACAAGAAAAACACTTGTATTGATTTTACAAGTAAACAATGTTGAATCCACCGGCTAAAATTTAAAAAATAGTACTTTTGCTTTTATATGATTCATGCCCACGGACTCTACGAGTATTTAATGCACTTGGTATAGATTTTTATACAAAAAATTATGTAGCTTTTTTTTTTTTGAATTTTGAATGAGTTTTAACCTCGAAATTGCTGCATATGACCAATAACATTGAACAAAATTTCAATCATTTGTACTTTAAACAGGAGAACACACATGACCCCCATTTCCACTAGATCCAAACTTTTAAATTTGAAGTTCAGAAAATCACATCAATAAGATAGGGGAATATATCGGAGCCCATGGAACTAATTTAGATAATATTTTATGAAAGGACATATAGCTTAAGACCATTTGTTACACAAGTCTAATGGACCTGAGATGTACAGTTTAACTGTTCATGAACATGAACAGAGCTATAACCGTGAACAACAAGACTTTGTCAGCTTCTCTTGTTCATGAATGTTAATTCCCATGTTTGAACGTAAGAAGCCGAGAATAATCAGAAACGTGCAGAAGAAAGAAACTAGCTCTGATTTATATTACATTCTCGCATCCATGGCATGTCCATGATGTTGGGAGAATAAGGTATGCCCGTTCGGTTATTCGATGGAGATTTGCCCTTTTTGGACCAAAGCCAGATCTTTGAGACCGAAAAGCTTTCACCTTTCCTCATGTTACTGATCTTCCTCTCCCCGCCATCACCATCAACCGATGACTCCCCTTTGCTTTTGATCTGCAGATCACGTTTAGTCTGGTGATCAATGGATAGAGGAACCCTGAGTTCTGAATCTCCTAGAACATACTCGTAAGAACCCATTGAAAAGCACCTCCTTGCATCTAGATTGCTGCTACTTGTCTCTCCAGTCACCGCTTCTTTTGGATTATCATCATTTAACTTCCTGAATTTCCCCAATCTCACAGGAATAACTCCCTTTTCAATCGTGATTTCTTCCATCTCCACGCTCTTATTGCGTGACTCCTCTTCCATGGCATCATCAAATTCAAAACCCACATTTTCAATTGGAAAACCCGGAGCATAGAGCGTGCCTCTGCAGAGAGGGCAAGTCGAGTTTGATAACAGCCATGTATCTATACAGTTGATGTGAAAGGCATGGCTACACATCGGAAGCAGTCTTAGTTTGTCCTTCTCGGAGAATTCACAGAGGCAGACAGCGCAATCAAAAGGCTCTTTTGCACCCACGATCTCTTTGTACTGAAAAACAGGTAGGGCATCTATGAAAGCCTGATCAAGTCCTGAATCATGGAGATGGAATAGTTGTTGAAGCTGTCTTTGAAGAGCATCAGATGTGGAAGTTTCTCGGTTTCTATTAGAACCAAGAGAAGACTGTGAAGCCGATTGCCGCTGCTTTAGAAGGAATCTAACTAGCAAATGGAGGACACCCGAGACAAAGAACAACAGGGCAAGAATCACTATGACGAAAAGAACAACAGGGCTAACTTTGGCACCTGATGATGGAGATGATGTTGAAGGGAGGTTTGATACTGTTCCGGGGGTTCCACTAAATGCAGGAGGGTATGCGAAGGATTGAGCTTTCTGGTTGATTTGGAACTCAACCCACGATGTTTTCACAACACGACTCTCTGCCATACTCTCACACGGCAAATTAGAACCACCAACACTATGCCTCGGCCAAATATGCCATAAACTTGGTATGTACACGGAAACTGTAACCACAGCTCAAGAGATAAACAACCTTGAGGGAGCGGAGCCAGCCAATAAATCGATGGCAACCAGAAGTTCTACGATTCTTTCAGATAATCCACCGAACAAGAGAGGAACAGAAATCTGAAAACTCAACCCCAGCAGAGGATCCACAATGCTATGCCCCGGAAATCAAGCACCCAACAAGATTTCATCACCCAAAAACATTAAATTTCCGTGAAAATCTCATAATTTTCTCCCCTCGTTTCGTCCAAGCTCGTCGACATCTACTGACGATACTTTTCACCACTCTCTCTCATGTTTCATGGATAATCCAACATGATATGATCTGACCAGTCGGACACTGGATAAGCAATTGAGAAATACAAATATCGAAAAGCTTGATGTCTTACCCACATCCAAACTTCATGGGTCTGAGCTCGAATCGCAGTCGGAGCCAAACGGGAAAAAACTCGTCTTGACAAAGGAATATATGATTTTGGAGGACGACGAAGAAACAAAAGAAGCAAATGGGTCAATGTGAAAATGGTGGCGTTCGCTTTGCTGAAGTGGGGGACAACGGAGGGAGGAAGAAAGAAGAATAAAGGGAAAAGAAGAGAAGTTGGGGTTGGGCACCACGCGCATATTAAAGGCGCGTGAGTGCCTCAAGGTCAAACCATCTTTTGTTTGAAATTTATTTAGTCTCATGAGAAGTCCCAAGAGTTTCGATTAGTTCTCCCTTTTATCGTTGTTTTCAATGTAACCAAATAAAAGAAAAAAATATATTAGTTTTAAATTTTTGGATTCGATTTTAAATTAAATTTTGGCAGGTTAAATTTGGAAAATATATATTTCAAAAATAAAACTAAGGATAAAAGGTAACATCAAATTATTAAATGGAAAAAATCTTAATCATTTATATGGTGCATATTTTTTTGTGGTGGTGAGTTAATCATAATTATGATGGATGGAACTTAAACAAAATGGCATAATTATGCCGTTAGATTTTGGACGGGTGTAATGATTAATTTATTGAATGATATTGGTTTCTTTCTTTAAAAAGAAAGAAAGTTCAAATTACAAAAATATTTTAAATTTGAAACATGGTTGAGAGATTTAACCCTTGATTGAGATCAACAAAATGTTCTATTGCAATGCAAACTAGGAGTGGCCATTTCGGTTATTAACCGAAGAGCGGTTGGGGTCGGTTCGGTTATTTGCTTAATAACCGAACGGTTGAGGAAGTTGAATAACCGTTCGGGTTCGGTTCGGTTCGGTTAATAACCGAATAACCGCGATTAACCGAACAGTTATTCAGTTTTTTTAATATTTTAATTTTTCTTCTCATTATTATTAGTATTATTTTTTTATACTTCACTTTTAACCTTATATATTTCACCCAATAAACCATAAAATGTAATGTTTTTAACTTTTATCCTAATTATTGAAGTTTTTAGATTTTTTTATAATTTTATTTTACATGATTAATCATTTTGTGCATTTATTTAAATAGATATTTTGAAATTTATGTAGGATTAATAAATTTTTTTAAAAAATATATCATAACCGAACCGAACCGATCTAAAACCGAACCGAATAAACCGGAAAATATAACCGTTTGGTTATAAATTTATTATGCAAAAACCGAGCCGAACTGAACCGAAACCGAACTGAACCGAACCGATTAAATCAATATAACCGTTTGGGTATGATTTTTTTATAACCGAAATAACCGAACCGAAATAACCGAAACGAAAACCGAACTGAAACCCGAAATGACCAACCCTAATGCAAACACTAAAATATTCTTTTAACCTAAGAAACGGCATGCAGTTTACTCGTATGACACAGAACGACACGTTGTTTCACCCTTCCCCCCACGATATTGGGCTATTCCCGCCAAAGCCCATCTAGTCTTCTGGTTTCGCTCGATACCACTGTGTTCTTCACACTCGCAGGTCGGAAGCTCGTGTGGCAGACGGAATTCGAGCTGCCAAATCTTCCAACTTTGATCATATCTCTCTATTCGCTTAGGTTGTCCGAATTCTTGATTTCCAATGAATTTCTTCATCTTTTTTCTTAAAAAAATTGTGCAATGTCCAGTACTTGAATTTAGGGTTCTTTTAGGTTTATGGCTACAATCTGCAATTTTGACCTCCGATCTTGTTGCATTACCGGAAAGTATACTGTGTTTCCATGTGATGTGATCACTTGGTTTTTTTTCCACCCTCTGAGACTCGGGTTCATGTCCTGCTTCGTCCTCTGACTTCGAATTATGTTGTTTTCCGAGTATAGGTTTTTTAGGGTTTGTGCGGGGCCTTCAATGGAGGATGAAAAAGACGTCTTTTACGTGGTCCGAAAGGGAGACATGATCGGTGTATACAGAAGCTTGAGCGAATGCCTAGAGCAAGCTGGGTCATCTGTATGATCTTTGTTTCACCTTTTCTGTACCATTTTCAATGATTTGGTCTTATTGTGCTATTTCAGGAAATTTTTCTCACTGATTTAGGATTCTTAATATTTTCTGGTTATTGGGTTCATATGCTTGAAATGTTTGCTTGATTCCGTGAATTTACCAGCACCAAGAAAATAGTTTTGTGTTTTACCCAATTCCAAATTGATTCTGTGTCTGGTTGCCCATAGAATTCGGGCACTGCAGTAAGACAAAGAGATATGCTTTATTTCATAGTTCCTCGTAGTTTATTTGTTTGGGTTTAAATGCAGGTCTGCCATCCTTCAATGAGTGTATACAAAGGGTATGGTTGGCCCACAGGAGCTGAGGAATTCCTTTCTTCGTTTGGACTTAGGAATGCTATATATTCTATCAATGCTGGGTATGTTAAAGATGATGTTTTCGGAAAACTCATCCCCTGCCCTATACAGGTCCGATGTCTCAGCATCTCGATCTTGAAAGATTTTCTATCCATTTTGTCTGTTAGCCATGTATTATATTGTTCTTACGAGAGAGAAATAAGGGAGGAGAGCATATTTACTTGTCTAAAAAGCTAGGCTTCTCTCCCTGCAAAGTGTTAATTGATTTGATCGCAGATATCATATCACATTATTGTCTAAGACATAATTTCCCTTTGCATTGCAGTCCAGTTGATATAATATCGTCACCTTTGATTTTTTTTTTTCCATTTCAGGAACCATCTTCTTCCCAGGGAGGGGCGCTTGACAGGCCTTCTTCATCAAAGAGATTGAAAGAAATGGTTCAAATGGAGAATCTCGTAAGTTGTAGCCCTTCGCAGCTGAATTTGGGATCAAGTTGTCATTTGATAGCTATCTAAATATTTCCTTTTGGAACAAATTGATGGAAGATTTCTCCCCTTCTCTTTTGAATTTTTTACTTTTTGGCGGTTAGTTGCAGGGAAGAGATGGATCGACTTCACTTCCTCAGAGTCCTCCGCAAAAGCATCTTAAGATAGATAATTGTGTGGCTCCTCAGGTTACCCCTTCCAATTGCGTGAGTTAGTAAAATGCTTCTGAGTCTTGAAGCATATTATATGCCTTTACAGCTCAATTTGTCACCCAAGGGTTTAGATGCTCCAAATTTCATTTCATTTAGATGATTACTATTAATATATCATGCTCAAGTTACATTGTATTTCAGGTTGCAATGCATAATTCTGAAATGCCAAGGCCTTGAAACTATGTAAAGCTTCATTTGTTTGCTTTTTTTTTTTTCCATTCTCACGGCAATGTCTCCCTCAGGAGTCCTGTACTATCGAGTTTGATGGTGCTTCCAAAGGAAACCCTGGAAAAGCTGGTTCGGGAGCTGTTCTCCGTTCTGCTGATGGAAATGTTTTCCTTTTACGAGAAGGGATAGGAGTTGCGACAAACAATGTTGCAGAATATAAAGGGCTAATTCTTGGGATGAAGGTTGCCCTTGAAAAAGGGTTTAAACATGTGCGTGTCCAAGGAGACTCCATGCTCGTCTGTATGCAGGTCAGGTGGCTTTTCCATTCACTGTTTCTTTCTCTTGAGATTCCTTTGTTCTCTTTTATCATTGCTTTGTAAAGCAATGAAAGTTTGTGAAAAGCTTGCATGTATACGTCATGATTAGTAACTATGTCACAGTCACTTATTTGGTACTTGGAATTCTGTCATGAAACAGGTACAAGATCAATGGAAAACCAAGCACCCAAAAATGGCTGAGCTGTGCAAACAGGCGAAGGAGCTCAAGAACCGGTTTTCCTCATTCCATATACAACATGTCGACAGGGTATGCTCAAAATGCCTTCTGTGGCAGTTGACTCCTTGTTATGATGCCTTTTGAACTTGGTGTACAGTCGGGTTTTGTATATGGGTTTCTTCAGATGAAGCGAGCTAATGTTAACTGCTGGTAATCCAGTATTCACCTCTCCTGGTGGAAGAAAGACCACATTTTTTTATTAAGCGTGGGGAAAGCTGAGAATATGAATGGTTGGCCGACTGCTTCCTGATCTTTTTTTTTTTTGTGTGTGTGTGTAGGAATTTAACTCTGATGCTGATGTCCAGGCAAACAAAGCGATCTATCTTCTGGGTGAGTGGTTTAAATGCTTAAAGGGAGTTTCTTTGTTATGGGTTTCTTCTGAGGATCTGATAAAGCTTTCCTTGATGCACATCCAGAGGGTCAAACTCAAACGGAGGAGGTTTGTGGCGGGAAGTACTAAGCAGAGGATCCCATCCTCATCTTCTTCGAAGTTAATGTTAACAAACATGGACAAAGGTGAAACAATGTCATGGTCTCTCTTTTTTGCTCATTCCCTCGTTACTCGTCATCTAAGTTTGTCCCCAAGAACACATGTACGTTGTCATCTTATCTTGTTTGTTTTTTTGGGCTACCCTAATATAACGTTTACTAGCACTCTCTAACAGCCCAGCAATTTTTTCGTCGAATAATTTACTGTTGCTTTTACCTAATCGCCTTAATTGTAATCGCGTATTTCTAAATTCCTTCCCCTTTTTGTATCATTCCCAAAAAAAAAGGATGATGACATACGTATCATGTAGTGCATAGAAAAAGGATGAGCACGTAGGGTGGAACGGGAAGACGAGAATTTCTGAAGGGTAGTTTTGTCTTTTCACATTGATAACAAGCACCGAAAACCAAGAGAAATGCCAGTTACCGAATGGGGATAATGCGTTGGAGCCGTTGCGAGGAAGCACCAAAAATCCTCTAAACCCCAATCCTTCTTTCATACTCAGAACCTCCGAGAGAGAAGCGATGGCGGCTATTTCAGCTTCTTCTACCTTACATTCGTTCTGCAGACCGACAAACCATCATCTTTCGTCGACTCGCCTTCTTCCTTTGTCCAAAACCCCCAGCTTCCGGATCAGAACCACCGTGGATTTCAAAACCTGCAGTATCGATGGGTTTCAAAAACAGAACCGCCGTGGGATGAGGAAGATGAGGTCGACTGAAGGAGGAGGAGAAGAAGGTGTTGCAGTTGCGGAGGAAGAACAACAGCCGCAGCAGCTGCAAGATACTGTCTCTGTCCCTGTCTCACCTTCGGACACGCTCACCATGTTTTTCCAGGTACATTCTCTCTTCCATGACTTCCTTTGCGCTCTATTGGCCTGAAACGTTTGCAACTTTATCAACTTATCGAATTCTATATTGCGGTTGATTATAACAGCAGACTAAATAGACTTCAGAAACTGAAACTACGCAGTGACACTTAGTCTTTTTCAGTATCTCGTGCTCTCTCTGGCTCGAGTTTCACTGTAGCCCAGCAGCTATTGGATAAATCTGATGAATTGGCGTCCGATGGGTCCTTATCCCTTTAGGACAAGATCGCCCTCAACCTCAATTACACCTGATGATTTTAGTTATATGAAAAACCCTGATCTAGTTCCTTGTATGTATGTTGATATTTATGACTTGATCATGGTTAGCATCAGCATTCAATGAATGCTTTTGCTTATAGATGAAGTTATGGGTCAGAAATTATGAATGTGTTAATCTTGAAGGAATACAGGACATCTTCATGAACTTAGATTCTCCTTTTGTCACATTGATCTGTTGAACGACAATACCCAACGATCTCGAAGTTTAGTGCTTTTCACCAAGTAGTTAGTTTAATAAGTTTAATGCCCCCGTGGAAGATTTGCCTCTGATCTCCAAAGGTTTTCTTCTATTTTTGAAGGCTGACGGAACTTTGAACGAGACCGCCATTCCTAAGGTGACGAAGGCCTTAGAGGTGAATACCTAGCACTATTTTAAGATGCATAAATGTCTGTTTCTTCAGTTTTGTTAGCCTGTCTGAAATCTCATTCTTGGTTTCTTGTCAATTCTTGCAAAGTGTAGAGAACATATATGAGTGACTTCCCACGCATAAGAATCACAAGATTGTCCCATGATAGCTTCTTCCTGTGCTAACTTGCATTTAATTGGACCCTCCTAATCTGAAATCTCTCTTTAACTGTAAGTTTTTGTGTCTTAAAGAATGCTGTTACAAGCTAGCCATGCGAGCCCTTCACTTCTGTACCAAGAAAAAAACATGGCTCGTTTAACCTTTTACTTCCAGATATGGTGAAATATATTCTGTTTTCGTCCTTGCAGGATATTGAAGGAGTTTCTAACTTGAAGGTCCGAGTGACTGAGGGTATTGCCACTGTTGAGGTATGTTTATGACAACATGTTCTTGCGGTGCTTTTGCGTACTTACTCATAAGCATTCACGGGGAAAATTATCAAAACGGTCCTGAACGCGTACTGTGGACTTTTTTCGCACAATTTGAAAGCACTGTCTTCTCTGATCAGTCAATATATATGTCTTAACCAATATATATGTGCGAAGCTTTGTAGCCCGGAACTGAAATAGATAGCCTTTAATAAGTTAGAGATCGTTTTCTCTGCGAGGAATTATGCCATGTGGCTTGTCTTATGGAATCTAAGACGCGTATTACTGTATAAATTGGTATGAACTATGGAACAAATCAGGGTTGATGTTAAACAAATGGTGGGTATGTTAATGTGAGTGCAGCTGATGAAGCAGACAACAGTTCAGGCGACGGGGGTGGCATCGAGCTTGGTGGAGCTCATACAAGGGGTAGGCTTCAAGTTACAGACATTGAATCTGAGTTTCGAAGACGAAGATGAGGTTCTTGTCTGAAACACCAATAGATTAGGGCCGCATTTTTCCGATTTTTGTTTAAGCTTTGTTCTTTGCTACACGCACGTCACAACTGGTGTGCAAACTCCATTCAAACGAGTACAAAATTACTCATGTGATTTGAACATTTATGTTGCAGAGTTTGATAACTTTTATTAACTTTAGACGCCTTCGAATGTCTGTACTCCATGTACTTGCATTTGCATGCATCTCGTGGCTAAATGCTAAAGGTTAAAGGGACACGACAACACTGTTAACTAAGAGGTGAGGTTGATGATGATATTAATTATGATAATTATTAAATAATATCGTTCCGTTTAGCCCATAAGGACATGTCTAATATATATATATTATTCAATTTAATATTGTTTTGCGGACAAGGGAAGCGTGTCGGCCTGATGAGGATAAATCTGATCGGTGGGAGTAAATGAAATTGTCCTATTTCGGGCTCCAACACACTCTAGTTTTTTTTTTAGTTAAAGGATGAAATGTTAAATGAGAGAGAGAGACCAGAACACGTCACGTGAGAGATATCTTACAGTTGATGTAGCCATTCTCTATTTTGGTTTGGTTTTTCCTCGTGTGTGAAATTGAGAGAGGAAACCTCACACACATATATATATATATATACACGTATATACATATACCCTCCCTAGCAAGTAATCTCGTCATTAATATTACAACCCAGATTTTCCATGTCGAATAAACGAATGAATATCAAATTTGCATGGCGTAAGTGCAAATGGTGGTCGTTCAGAGGCATGGAGAGTTGAGATGCGTAATAAATAGCGGCGTCACATGCATGAGCTGTGTCTCACCCGATCCATGTATGTATGTATATACACACATGCACATATATGCAGAGATCATAGGACGGTAAGGTTATTCAAATGACGCATACATACAGTGTACAAAGCCTGGAACCCACTAGGGATCTCCCCTCCATGCTTCGTGGGAACCATATGAGCTGTCTGTCAATATTTACCTTTTTCCTTGGCTTTCTCCAAAACCAATGAACGTATGTTCCCACTAATCTCCATATATAGATACATATGTACACATACATATATACTGCAATGGTTTACAAGTCTATGTCTGAGTCCTATCATAGAGATGATCGGATCCAACCACTGGCTAGCAAATCCATCTATTTACATGTTATGCATAACCTTTTTATATATATATATAAATTATTATTATTTTGGAGATTTTTAATGTTTCTTTTTCCTTTTTTTTTTGTTTGGATTGATGGGGGGAGGGGTCGGACTTGCTGAATATCTCACCAGCAGGCAAAGGGTCCAAACCCACAAGGACAACTTTCACCATTATTGCAATTCGCAGTAATTATTTGTTTTCCTTTCTCTCCCCTTTTACGGGTCAAGTAATTTAGTACACAACTTGTGCCTTGTCGTTTTATGTTCGAAAACAACGCCGTAATTAAAAACATATATATACTCATCCACTTGACTTGTAGCTTATTATTACCCTTTAGCCAATATGCGATTAGAAGAGGAGAGTCATTAAGACATTAGTTATTGTCACTTTGAGTTTTGTGAAATTTATACACATATATACAAACATGGGATTCTGGTGACGGCGACTATAGATTATATTGTTTTCGAGGTTCGAGGGATAAATGAGCCTGCGAAGTTCAAGCTGGCATGCATATATTAACTGCTCTGTACCAAACAAAATAATGTTCATTTGTATAAATATTCTATTTTTTTTAAAAAAAAAAAGAAATGCCCCTGTTTATATAATAAACGCAAGGGGCCTTCGAGTCTCTTCGTCTCACAAGGCAAGATGCGTCTCTCTCCTTCTTCATCTTCTGCTGCTGCTGCTCTCTTCGCCTCTCTCCTTCTCATCTCCATCTCCACCCATGTACGCCTCTCTCTTCCGTCTTTGGTTTAATATATTAGTATTTATGTGGATATCGTTATCAAATCATGTAATGTTTTTACTACGTCTGGTTCGTACGTTATTGGTTTTGGATTAGGTGAGATGTTGGGTGTTACTTTGTTGATTTTTCTCGAGCTTTTCAGGTCGTCGTCGTTGCTTCGTATGAGGAGGAATCCAATGTACAAGTAAGTTGACTCCTCCTACCTTCACACAAATGCATAACATGTACATATTTTTCATATCTAAATGAATTTGTATAGGTTACGTTACCAACACCTGCTCCTCCTCAATCGCCAATAGTTAAGGCCCCGCCTAATTCACCGGCGTTGACTCCGCCTCCTTACAAGGCCCCTCCCGCAAAACCACCGGTGACCCCTGGCTCGCCACCCTACAAACCACCGTCTTCTCCGGTCAACCCGCCCACGACACCGGCCTCGCCGCCTTATAAGCTCCCACCCACTCCGGTCAAACCACCCGTGACCCCCGTCTCGCCACCCTACAAACCACCGTCTACGCCGGTCAACCCTCCCACGACACCGGTCAAACCACCCGTGACCCCTGCCTCGCCACCCTACAAACCACCGTCCACGCCGGTCAACCCTCCCACGACGCCGGTCAAACCACCCGTGACCCCTGTCTCGCCACCCTACAAACCACCGTCCACGCCGGTCAACCCTCCCACGACGCCGGTCAAACCACCCGTGACCCCTGTCTCGCCACCCTACAAACCACCGTCCACGCCGGTCAACCCTCCCACGACGCCGGTCTCGCCGCCTTATAAGTCCCCGCCTACGCCAGTCAAACCACCCGTGACCCCCGTCTCGCCGCCGTACAAACCACCGTCTTCGCCGGTCAACCCACCCACGACACCGGTTTCTCCGCCTTATAAGTCCCCGCCCACGCCGGTCAATCCACCGAAGACTCCGCCGTCTCCATACACGCCACCCCCCGTGAGGACACGGATAGGTACAAATCTTACGCTTATTTTCTGAATCCACAAACGTACGTATACCACTTGTGCAGTTGTGGAAAGATACACGTACGAGAACGTGATTGAATTGTTTATTTTGTACATATATAAAATAAAAAGAAGAGTGTGGGTGAAGGAGTAGGTTCACCGACAAAACACGCGAGGCGAATGAAATCTATACATATGAGAACTCTTACAAAGAAAAAGTGAATTTGGGCAGATTGCGTGCCGTTGTGTGGGAAGAGGTGCAGCCTGCACTCGAGGAAGAACATATGCATGAGAGTGTGCATCACGTGCTGCTACCGGTGCAAGTGTGTGCCACCTGGCACCTACGGCAACAAGGAGAAGTGTGGCTCCTGTTACGTCAACATGAAGACACGTGGCGGCAAGCCCAAGTGCCCCTGATCTTCCCTCCGGCCTTTCCACTTTATTATTTACGAGAGAGGATATATATTATATTATATTTTTATATAATGCCAAGTATCGATGTCCGATTAGATTTTGATGTATTGCGGTGGTCGGGATGTTTCCGGGAATTATGATCTCGAAAAAAAAAAGACCTTTTTTCTGTAAACAAAAATATTCAAATTATAATATGAATATCGATGGACATGTGTCTTGCATCCCATCCCATATTCTTTAGGAGAATGGGACCAATCAATCCAAATAAAGAAATTGATTTAACTTTTTAAGACATATATAAATTCATATGTTATGTTATATGTCTACCAAATTATAATATGCAGTGCATGGGCTGACATAAAGGCCCAACCATATATTATGCACATTTATCTGGGCTCCTATTCATAATTGAGAGGCCCAATGGGCTGTATATTATTATTTTGGAGGGGACCATTTTCATTGATGGGCTGACATAAAGGCCCAATCTTTATGGGCCCAGATGAAGCCCAAACAATTTTAAAAAAGATTCAAGAAAAGAGGACTACAATAAGATTCAAGAAACAGAGAAATGAGAGCAGAAGAAATCTTTAAACGCGGACGACGACGAAAAAAATGAGGAGCGACGGGATCTTGGGGATCCGAGGTTCGGACCAGAACCCAGCAACCGCTGTTGCTAAGGCAGGGGGATGGCTGAGGACACGAGAGACGTGGCTCGTGGTTATCGGCGTGGCTCTTCACGCGGTCTACATGCTCAGCATCTTCGACATCTACTTCAAGACACCCATCGTCCACGGCATGGATCCCGTGCCTCCCCGATTCCCAGAGCCTCCGGCGAAACGGCTCATTCTTCTTATCTGTACGTTCGAACTCCGTGTCTTTGTTCTGATGCCTCTGTGAATTGCCCTATATTCCGTCAGTTCCTTACTCTACCTTAGAGCGTATCATCGTCTCGAAGTACGTGAATCTGATCGATTTTCAAATGTTTTCAATGATATATTGATGGGATGCAGACTGACGTCACTTCTTTGCTGAAAGCTTCTCGGAATTTGGGGTTTTACTTATCTTACATGTTCGGAGTCCATCAATATTCACACGACCTGCTTTCGTCCTGATTCATTTTTATCCCATGTCGCAACAAAGTCTAGTTTCCGTTTTAAAGTGTTAAAGGAAGAGATGGAATTGATCTAGTTGATTATAATTTTGATCATTTCAATTTTTTAAAGGAGGAACGTCATGGAGTTAATCTAGTTCACGCATGAACGGAGTTTGTTGCTCTGATACTTGCATCCTCTGTTTGTTCATCAATATGCCTTAGGTTGGGTCAAGAATATAGTAGAATGGTTGAACTTACTGTTTCTCTGATGGAATTAAAACATCAGCGGATGGTTTACGTGCTGATAAATTCTATGAGCCGGACTCGAAAGGGAAATACAGAGCACCGTTCTTGAGAAGTATAATAAAACACCGTGGGCGTTGGGGAGTTTCTCATGCTCGCCCCCCGACAGAATCCAGACCTGGGCACGTTGCTATCATTGCTGGATTCTATGAAGATCCCAGCGCAGTTACGAAAGGTTTTTTTTTTCTTCTTTCTCTATTTCATACTTACTCTCTAGTATCTCAGTTTCAATTTCAAAGTTAGTATTGGTTTGAAATGACATTGTGTTGCACTCTATTTGCAGGATGGAAAGCTAATCCTGTTGAATTTGATTCTGTTTTTAACCGCAGCCGCCATACATTTGCTTTTGGTAGCCCGGACATTGTTCCTATTTTCTGTAGTGCCTTACCTCACAGCACCTGGAATTCATATCCTCACGAGTTCGAAGACTTTGCTACTGGTTAGTTTAATATCTTGAAAAAGGAAGCCTTGTCTGTTTGTATTGGTATTTTGAAAAAGGAAGCTTGTTGAATGCTATTCTTTAACAGAAAGTATACATTTTGCATAGCCTGGCGTCTTCTTGCTACTTTTCATTGACATCAACACAAATGCTACTGAGGTGCTGCATTCTTTATTATTCCACTAGAATGGACTAAACTGTCTTTCTGGTGCAGATGCCTCCTTTTTGGATGAGTGGTCATTAGATCAATTCCAAGGCCTTCTCAACAAGTCTCATGATGACCCAAAGTTGAAGGACCTCCTCCATCAGGATAAACTTGTTTTTTTTCTTCACCTACTTGGTTGTGACTCCAATGGTCACGCTCATCGACCTTACTCATCGATTTATCTGAACAACGTCAAAGTTGTTGATAGAATAGCTGAAAGGGTCTACCATCTTCTGGAAGATTATTACGGAGACAACCGCACAACGTATGTATTTACAGCTGATCATGGAATGAGTGACAAAGGTACATTCTTAGGTGTGCGATTATTTTTATCTTATTTTTAATCGTTGATTAGTGCTTAAAGGCATATTTGATCTGTTGGGTTACAATTCAGTAGTTGGGTTGATTAGAATTAGCTGCTCTTAAGTAGGCTCTTTATTTTTCCATCATTTTGTTTGCTCTAAGATTGGATGGTATAAGATAGCAAAATGGTTTATTTTGGGTTTTATAAGTGGTAATTGAATTGACTACATAAGTAGTTAGTTTATAACCCATCATCCGACTGCTTATCTCTTTAAACCAAGCTTTTGATGATGATGATGATGATGATGATGATGATATTATATTATCCATTTTATTTGTAGGGAGTCACGGAGATGGGCATCCTTCAAACACAGATACTCCATTAGTTGCCTGGGGAGCTGGCATCAAATATCCAAAGCCAACATCCAGTGACAGTCATTCCGATACCGTGTCTAAATTTGTTGACGAACATGCGCATGACATGCCAACACCTCATGGATGGGGCCTTAGCAGTATTGAGAGACTTGACGTTAATCAGGCAGATATAGCACCACTTATGGTTGGATCTATACTCTAAATTATTTAAACAATCGATATAATAATTAAAAGTCTAATTTATTTCTAAAATATGTTGTTTTTTTCTTCTTTTTTTCTTGTTCAAACTATCCATAGTCAACCCTTTTAGGGTTACCATGCCCAGTTAACTCGGTTGGGAACTTACCACTTGGCTACATGAACTTGAATGAGGTATGTACTTCTTCTTAACCAATTTACTTGTCTCATGTCCTACATTTTCCTTCTGTTGATTCTAGCTATATAGTAATGTAAACTGTCTAGCAAAAATACATGGTTGGTACTCACATGGTTTCCTTGGTTATGTAACTTTCAGGCTGAAGAGGTTGAAGCTGTTCTTGCTAATACAAAACAAATCCTTAATCAGTTTCTTCGCAAATCACGTATCCTTTCTTCATTTTATGGTAGGCTGCACTATGCTAACATGGTGTCTGAGTTGATGATTAAAAATTTGTGCTGTAACATTCGCTTCTTATTCTGATTCCATTTGGTTCATTTGGTTCATTATATCCACAATATTCTTCTATACCTGCAAAACTTGACAATGTTCTTTGTGTGTTTGCGATTCCATTTCCAAATCATTCTTCAACTCACCCTTTTAAGTATGGTTTCCTTGACAACCTCAGAAATGAAAAGGGCAAACTCCTTATATTTCAAACCATTCAAGCCGTTGGCCCACTATTCATCATTTTTGAATGAGATTGAGGACATGATATCTGCAAAAAAATTTGAAGCTGCAAAGAAATTGTCTGAAGACCTTAGAAGCTTGACGTTAGAGGGGCTCCATTATTTCCAAACATACGACTGGCTGATGCTGATGACGGTTATTACCCTTGGATATGTTGGATGGATGATCGTGCTTGCTCTACATGTGCTGCAATCTTATACTTCACTGCCAGGAGATTTGTTCAAAAAGGAACATACATCTGTGAAGAACAAATATACTGGAAAAGTAATGTATATGTAAGCTTAAAAGCTTAGCTATTCACTTGGAAAAGTCTTCTCTTCTTTTTGTGCTATTATTCTGTTGTCTTTGGTTAACACGATTTTTTTGTACTGTTCTTTTAGTTAAACATCTCTGTTTCCTTTTCTCAGGCAAAACTGGTCAGTCTCTCCAATTTCTATGTATATTTATTTATTTATTTATTTTGCCACAGGTATATCTGTCAGGCTTTCTGCTGATGGCGATTCTCTCCTTGCTAAACTTGGTGGAGCATTCTCCGCCTCTTTACCATGCATATATAGGAATGACGGTATTCTTGTGGACACAAATTTTTAATGAATTCCGCTTAATAAGAGGAATGTGGAGATTCGTAAGAGGGAGGAAGATCGAGTACTTCATCAAACTTCTGTTAACTGCAGCTGTGTCGATAGTCATTGTGGAATTACTGGTATTTGTAATAAAAAAGTTTTTCTCTTTTTCTATGAAGTTTGAGACCTATAAACTCATGATCGATCCTTTTTATGCCTCCTGCAGGTTCATAGCTTCACGGAGAGAAAGCTCTACACTTGGTTCTTCTTGATAGCCGGTGTAGTGGCTTCAATATTGCTACATATTTCAATCCCTTGGAGATCTGGGATACCAGCATTTGTCTGTATTTCATGTTGGTTCCTTTCTGTTTTTACACTGATGCCGGCTGAAATCCCTGATAACAATAATTTAGTGTAAGTCACTGATCTTGCCCTTGGCTCAAACCCTTTCTTTCCTCTGCGGTTCTTTGTTATACACCACAGGGAACAGATGCGCTAGAAAAGGTGTCTCTCGCATGCCTAGATTTATATAATCTGTCAATAGAACATTTTGTTTAGCCGTAGAAGGAATGTCTCACACAATATAAACTATCTCTCATCTGGTATGCTCAGTCCCTACTTGTGAATTCAGCGTTAATTGATGCTGGAACCATCTGTGTATGCAGAGTTATAAGTGGAGCTATTGTTATTGCAATAAGCTTTGCTGCAAGGTGGATAGACATGCATGCAGGAGGGAATAAGTTTTGGCAAAGTATAACTTTTCATGACAGCATGAAGCCAGTGTGCTCCATTCTATATTGCATACAGGTAACTTTTGTCTCTTGTTTTAAAATTTAGGACCTGGGTTCTGTGGGTAACATCCATTTTTTGAGTCTAAATGGAAAACAGGTTCTTTTGGTTGGGTTATCATCAGTGATGGTGTTTCTGTCGACAAAGCACCGAACACAGAATCAAGAACTACATTCGTCTCATCAGTTCATAAACTGGTTGGTTGCTGGTATTATTCTCAGACCTACATTTCTTTTTACCATCTTCATGTTTGTTGTGTATTTGTTTTTTATCTTCTTTTCTCTTTCAGGTCCTTCAATGGTCCTCCCGTTGTTTTCAGAAAACAGCATCCTATCACGATTAAGTTCTATATTTCTTGGTCTGGCACCTCCGTTCCTTCTTTTGTCTATCGGGTATGTCTCTTTGCAAGACTCGTCTAAAAATGTTAGTTCGCTGATAATATGGATTATTGTTGTTCACTCATCTTTCCATGATTCGTTTGCAGATATGAAGCCGTCTTTTACAGTGCTCTTGCTTTGGTGCTTATGGCATGGATACTGTTTGAAAACACTTTTCAATATTCTAGCAAAGTGAAAGATATGTCTCTGTCAGAACGAAACATGGAAGAGCTTGTCACTATTGGAAATGGGGAGAGATATTTGCGGCTGTCTGATGTGCGGATTCCCTTGATTTTTGTAAGTCATCTTCTCATGTCCACCTACAGTAATGGTCCTCCTATATTGCACTGTTGGGTGTTAAGCCACATGCCCACTTGCATTTGGTAGCTATCTGAGATATCGGACAAATATTAGAATTTGACGTTATTTGGTGTTGACATGTGTTCTTCAGATGGTTTTGTTCAATGTCGCATTCTTTGGAACTGGGAATTTTGCAAGCATAGCAAGTTTTGAGATATCATCCGTTTACCGGTTCATCACAATCTTCAGCGTAAGTAACTGTAAGCTTCAGCAGAAAGAGAATCTAGTCACTGTTTGCTTATGATTCGGGTTTCTTTAATATTTGAATGAATTTTTGAATTTCTGCAGCCCTTTCTGATGGCCGCCCTACTTATTTTCAAGCTCTTCATACCTTTCATGCTTGTGATGTGAGTACTAATACAACTTCTCTACTAGAAAAAAAAAGTCATTACAACTATAAGACTGAACTTTGAAATGATAACAACTTGGCGTGGGGAGAATTATGGTAAAAACTCACAGAATAACCAAGAGGGTCGTTTGTTTTACCATTTTTACACTGTTGTTTCTTAACTACTTGGTTTCTTGTTGAACTATAAATGCAGATGTGTTTTTAGTGCAATAACCAAATTACTCAGAGTCCCGCGATTGGGTTGCTACTTTCTTGTGATCTTGCTCTCAGACATAATGACCATCCACTTTTTCTTCCTGGTAAGATACACATAAAAACACATTCTATATTGAGCATCGTTTAGGTTTCTGCTGTACATCTTATGTGCATCTAAAATAATAACGCTTAATTAACAGCAATCGTCATGTTATCTTTGCTTGTACCTCGTCAGTTATAATCCAAAGACTGATGCATTCTGACAAGATAAAGGTTTATTACATGTGGCTTTCATGATTCCTTGCTAACTCTTGTGTCTCCAACGAAAATTCAGGTAAAAAATACCGGAAGCTGGATGGAAATTGGTAACAGTATAAGCCATTTTGGGATTGTGAGTGCCCAAGTGGTCTTTGTGCTACTACTCTTTGCCCTCACAAACATGTACACCAAAAGCATCCGAGTTCAGCCACTGTCAAGTTCCACCTCTCTTAAAACCCTCTGAGATTTTTGTCCCCGACAAAGAGTTGATGACAAAACCATGGTGTTCTGAGAAACTAAAATCAGCTCCTTTGGAGATTCCGACACTTGATGATGCTTTGTCCAAAGCATTGGGCTTGGGTGTTTTTGAACGTTGAGGAAAAAGGGGGTCTTTATTCCGTTTTGATTGATAGGAGCATTAGTAACTTCTGCCTGTTCTCACAGGCCAACGTGATTGAGTTTTTTGCTAATGGATGTAGAAGGAACAATTTTGGTCGGCAGTCTGTTCGTATTCCTTTAATCTTAGAAGAAATGATTCGGATGGGAAGGTTCTATTTTCACGTACGTAAACTGAATTTTGTCTTCTGAACAGGTCCCCTTAGTTAATTCTTCTTGGCAAAGAAATGTAGAGGAAACAATTATTGGAGCCGTGTGGGGTCCCTTGGAGCTCTGAAGTTTCCTCCTGCGTTCTGTTTATTTGTTTATTTATTTATATTTGCATGTTGGCTTTCTTTACAAAATAAACTATTGTTATATATTCCCCATTTTTACAGACATCTCTGTCTGCCTTCAGTTACTTCCTTGTCTTGTTTTTTTCCTCTCTCACGACAGATTTGTTACAGCTCGGGAAAATATGGATCCCTCTCCACTGTAAGTCAGAAATCTTTGTCCAGATCACTTCTCCATTTTTTTTATTGTTTCTTTTTTTTATAAAGTTCATATGTGTTCTTGCTCCCTTTTCTCTGCTCCAAAACTTGCTTTGAAGGCCAATGCTTTAGATCGCTAAGAATCTTTTCCTTTCAAGGCTCAGGTCTTCGAAGATTGCCAAGCCCAGCTTCAGATCCTGCAGCGGAGTTGAGCTGGGGAAGCTAGCCGTGAGCTCTGGTCTCCTACGAGTCTCGTTGACCAAGATCTTGGAGCTAAATGGGTCGATTGATTTGAATCAAGAATCAAATTTGAGATTCCGTATTACCGAAAATTATAATGATAAATACAATGTTGTTGCCTTTGTGGCGCCTCCCATTTGCACAAGAAGATACCTTTACAATGGGGATGACTTGGTCAACTCTGCTTCAATTCTCCTAAGTGGTTCAGCACCTTCTAATCGGTTCTACTTCTTGTGCTCTGCAAAGATCCCTTCCTTCTCTGTTCACCGCCCTGCTCTCCAGCTTTTTGATTCTGTGTTCAATGAACTGTCACACGAGTTGCAGGTGAAACATATCAATTCTCTTTTCACTTTGTTAAGTCTCTCTCAGTTTGAGATAGATTATCAATGAACACATCATACGGTATCTCTAGTTTCAAATTGCAGATCAAATCAGTCTCTTAAAACTTTAACTGAGTTTTCTCTAAAGGGTCAGGTGTGTCCAGGACAAGTTGAGTTTTCTCTAAATGAAGTTAGATTGAATACGAAAACATATCCGTCTTGCAGCTTCTGGATTCAGAGACACCGCTGATCATCACCGGTTCTGCATTAGGAGGATCGGTTGCCTCTCTCTTAACCCTGTGGCTGTTGGAGAACATCGAGCCAGGAAAAAGCGGCCCACTATGCATCACTTTTGGCTCACCGCTGCTCGGTGACACCTCTCTTCAACAGCTTCTTGAAAATTCTGTAAGGAACTCGTGTTTCCTTCACGTGGCTGTTCCACAAGATCCCCTTCCAAAACTTCTGGTTACGCGAAACGGTTCCCAAGCCGCGACTGTATTCAAGCCTTTTGGTACCACCTTTTTTTGTTGTGAATCTGGATGCCTTTGTATTGAGGACCCTGATGCAGTCTTGGAGTTGGTAAGTGGCATCAATGGAGGCCAGATTTCCGCCGATTGGGGGATTTATGGCGAGATTCTGCATTGGATGGAAAGGTCTTCTGTGTTCATCGGAGCTTCTGAACACATCTCAGACTGGTTTCATGGCGAGATGTTCTTGCAGCCAGACCAGATGGGAAGGGGAGTGCAGGTAACACTGACCACCTTGTAGACTGCTCAAAAAGCAATCCCATGTTTTGTCTGAATATATATATCTATTGCAGGATGACCTGAACGCCCGTGTGATCGGTGGTGTTATCATGAGAATGGAGGAAAGGGCGAAGAAGAAGCTGCGTTTTGACCCCTATAAGAAACTAGAGCACATGAAGATAAACATGATACAATTGGAATGGTACAAAAAGGGATGCAGGAGCGATAAAATAGGTTACTATGACCATTTCAAGGGCTATTATTCCTCTGTCTCTCAGCGCATTGTGACAGTGGAGAAGTACAAGAAAGAGCTCATGGATTACTGGAACTCCATGGTTGAAGAAGCTGAGAAGAAGCCTCAGACTGATGTGAAGGTTTTCAAGTCACGGTTTCTCTTGGGTGGCAACACCTATAGACGGATGGTCGAGCCCCTTGATATCGCTGAACATTATAGAAACGGCCGAAAGGACTACATGGCTACGAGGCCCCAACACTATATCCGTCTTCAGAAATTGTTTGAAGAGGCTATTGTGTCCGAGAAATCGACGAAGACGTCGGCAAAAAAGGTTTCCTTTGATCTTCTAACTTTGGATACCTGCTTCTGGGCTAAAGTGGAGGAAGCTCTGATTGCGATCAAGGAGTTGCGGAAATCGGAAATCAGAGACGACGAGAGAGAGTCGCTGACCCTAAAACTGCTTGGGTTTGAGAGATACGTGTGGGAGCTGATCGAAAAACGTGAGGTTTCGCCGGAGATTTTCTTGGAAAAAAGCAGTTTCATGGGATGGTGGCGCGAATACAAGCAGACGTGCGTAGGAAATGCGTTTCGTTCTGATTTCACTGATTTCATGGACGACAGAACGTATCTTGACTATGGAACCGCTGAGTGAAACACGGTTGGGTCGAGATTGATAACAAATGGGCCCCACGGGAGGGCAGACGTTAAATATAAGCCTGATGGGCTTTTATCTTTACGTATTTTGTACTGGTGGACCTAATTCGGCTGAAAAATTGTGCCTAATATGCAAGTTTATATTGGGTTTGCAAAATTTCGGGGAAGGGCTTTATAAAGATGAACTTATTTCCTAATTCTTCACTCGAGTAATATATATAATAGCACATTAGTCCTTGCTTTCTTCTCAATTTTCTCTTTTTGCCACGTAAAAAGTCATTGTCGTCTCAAATCCAACCCTTTCTGACGAAAATATCTTAGGGTCACGCGTCGGTGATGGACTGAGACATAAGAAAGGTCATGCCACGCGTGAAAAGCGGGACCCGCATGAGCCACGTGGGCCACTTATTTCTTACCCATTCACACCCCTTGTTCCTTCTCTGCCTCTTCGTATTCAGCTCGAACTACGATCACTCCACAAATCCACATTTCCAATCGCTCTCTTTCTTTAGGATCAACAATGGCGTATCTTCGGCAAATCTCCGGTGCTAGAGCTAACGAACGCCCCTCGCCTGCGGTTTTACTCGGAGGATCCGCGGCGGCGTCGTCGTTTTGGAATGGATACGGCCGTCTCTTCGACGGAAGGGGGATTTCTTTCATCGGTTCCAGAGATAAAGCCGGAATCAGCAGAGGAAGAGTTATTCTTCGAGTTTCTGCAATGTCTTCTTCTTTTTCATCTTCGTTCAAGATGAATTTAAACGAGTATATGGTCACGCTTGAGAAGCCCCTCGGGATTCGCTTCGCCTTGTCGGCCGATGGCAAGATTTTCGTCCACGCCATTAAAAAAGGGGTATGGAATCCATGATTATCTGTTTCGCTCGGTTTTGACTCTGATTAAAGCATTGGCAATCCCATTTTCGCTATTGGGTTATTTCTTTCGAAGGACTTCTTGTCTATCGTTTTGATGGTGAAATCGTTTCTGTAGAGTAATGCGGAGAAGTCGAGGATAATCATGGTAGGAGATACGTTAAAGAAGGCGGGCGATTCTTCTAGTGGCAGTCTTATCGAAATCAAGGATTTTGGTGATACCAAGTAAGGACATTTATGTTTATTGAATTTCACCATTGGTATGTTCCCAGTCTTCTAGTTCGTTTGCGGATGGCCAAAATTCTTCAAATTAGCGGGAGTATACTTCACTTAACTGAGGAGTCTCGAGGCCAGTGTTCAGATTTAGAAAATTTGTGCAGTGGAAGCTGCTTTAGCTAAAGGTGATGATTTGTTAGTTCCCTCTGAGTTAACGGTTTCTGGGATATTTTCACCTATTTGCCTTTGCAATTTGTTCAGCATACCATTGATAACAGTGGAAGTTGGGTTTGAACTTAACCAAATCATAACTGGAAACACTGTACATATGATTATTTTGGATGTAGCGTTTTTGGGCGGTCTTTTAAGCTCAATGCTGATAATCATGTTATGTTCATGAATTTTTCTTTTTTATTTCTTCCAGTTTTTGGTTTAATTCAGGAAGATGCTGGCAGAGGAAACAGGAGCGTTTGGCCTTGTTCTTGAAAGACCATTCTCTCCATTTCCAATTCAGTACCTGCTTCATTTGAGCGACCTTGATATGATGTATAATAGAGGGCGTCTACCCGTAGTCACTTGGAACAAGAAACTTCTGGCTTCGAATTTGGCAGCAACCGATAGCTGTGGAAATTCTGGCTTTGTGGCATTCTCTTCGAAGTTCTTGACTTCCCAAGGATGGAAATTTCTGTGCCGACAAAATAGTTCCATTCAACCTGAGGCCCAGAAGAACCTTCTTTCTCCACCCATCAGTCCACTTGTCTGCATCTTTTCTGAGGAAATGTCTGGGGATGGGGAATGGGGTTATGGAAATTTCCCTGTAGAGGAATATATCAAAGCTCTAGACCGTTCTAAAGGAGAGCTTTACTATAACCATGCTCTTGGAATGCGCTACAGTAAGGTCTGATTGTCAGATTTCTTCTCATGGAGCTGTTTAGCCCACATACTCTCTCTCTCTCTCTCTCTCTCTCTCTCTCTCTCTCCCCTCACCATCTTACTTTTCTTCTCGTTTTGGCCTTTCACAGATTACGGAGCAAATATATGTTGGCTCTTGTATACAATCAGAAGATGATGTAGAAACCTTGTCAGATGCGGTGAGTGCCTTTTAGTTCATAATATACCAGCATTTTGTTTTCTGATATGCTATGGTAGTAGTCATGCTCTCTCTATTTTATTTTAGCTCCTATCACAGACAGGAGATACAAAAGCCATTCTCCTCTTGATGCATCAATTTTCGAGGTTTTATGTTTCCTTTGCATGGGCTGTTCTTTGTCATATATTATTGTAGGGATACTAAGTTGAGTTACTTCCTATGGTAAATAATGATGCATGGTGGAGTAAGTTTCCACTGATTCTTTAGGATGACAGAAACCCTTTGCATCGGGAATGCGTCTGATTTGGTGAATGTTTTCATTAGATAAATGTAGCAAGTTTCCGCCATATTATGAATGGTCAAGCCTTTTATGCTTTAGGGAATTTCTGCTGTACTAAACTTCCAAGGTGGAACCGAAGCTCAAAATTGGGGAATTGTTCCTCAAAATATCAATGACGCATGCCAGAGGTCTGAAATCTTAGTGATCAATTATCCTATAAGGTATGCAAAGCCTTTTAAATCATGTTATGCCTTTCCATGTATGAGCTTTTTTTTTCTTTTATCTCAATCAGCACCCTCGCAACAAAGAGAATACTTTGTGGTTTTGCTCTCTTGTTTGTGCGCTAAAACCAGATGTGACAAAAAAAAAATGGCAATGCTTCAACTTCCATGCAGGGATGCAGATTCCTTTGATCTGAGGAAGAAGCTGCCATTTTGTGTTGGCCTCCTACTACGCTTGCTAAAAAAGAACTATCGCGTTTTTGTGACTTGTACCACTGGTTTTGATCGATCACCGGCTTGTGTGATTGCCTATCTGCACTGGATGACTGATACTTCTCTTCATACCGCTTATAGTTTTGTCACTGGATTGCATGCTTGTAAACCTGACAGGTTTGCATACGTCTCAACTTTGTCTCCATCATTTTCAAAAGTCTACGGACAAGATCATTGGGAGATTTGAAAGTTCCCGTGTGTTTGAAAAAAACGATATACATGTTTGCTCAGACCTGCAATTGCTTGGGCAACTTGGGATCTTATTGCAATGGTGGAAGACCACAGACATGATGGACCTCCAACACATGCTGTAACATTTGTGTGGAATGGACATGAGGTGATCGATGCGTCCCTTTTTTTTACCCTGATTATAGGTTTTTACTTCATGCGCTCACTTTTACCTGCAGTCATAGGCTTGAAAAACCTGCTGTGTTCACCTCTCTCGTTGGACTGATGATTAGTTCCGTAAGTATTCTAAAGCTTGTTTTTGCTCTATTCCAGGGAGAAGATGTGTTGTTAGTCGGAGATTTTACGGGAAATTGGAAAGAACCAATAAAAGCAACTCACAAGGGTGGTCCACGATACGAAACTGAAGTTAGACTGCCACAGGGAAAGTGAGTTGTGTTTCCGGTCCCTGCCTATGGTTGAGGTTTTATATGGATTACGAGGAATGGGGCACTTCCACTTGTATGGATGAGTAAAGTGCATTTATTTGACTGCAAGTAAATTTTGTGATGGTGAAAGTGGCAGATACTACTACAAGTACATAATAAACGGTAATTGGAGGCATTCAACGGCTTCACCAACGGAAAGGGACGAACGAGGGAATACAAACAATGTAATCGTGGTTGGCGATATTGCTAGCGTCAGGCCTTCTATTCAACCTCCCAAGAAGGTTGGTCTTGTTTAAACAGTGAACTATACCGAGATCCCAGATTGGAAGTTATGGTTCACGCATCAGATTATTATCTGAAGCCTTTGTGGGTGGGTTGACATTGGCAATGTGATGATAGGATGCGAATGTCATCAAGGTGATCGAGAGGCCCCTGACTGAGAACGAAAGGTTCATGCTGGCCAAAGCAGCTCGCTGCATCGCTTTCTCAGTCTGTCCAATCAGATTATGCCCAAAGTAGAAAGTATACACAGCATGGCCTCTCTATCCCATCGTCTTTCACAGGTACGGTTATATCTTCTGTTTTACCGCAAATATGAAATAATAATAATAATAATAATAACGAATAGATAGCAACATTCCACGTAATAAAGATGAATCCTTGTCACTGACTCTTTTACACCTCATGCGATCGTCCGTCTAATCACACGTGTCCTTGTTTTGACATGATTTTCCAAGATTGATAGTTGGTGTAAGAACGAAATTTATATTGTCTCAGTTCAGGTAAAATTATCCAAAGACCCCTCTTGTCTGTGTGCAAATGACGAGGATTGTTAAATTTATACGCACTGGTCTGATAGACAAATAAATAAGACCATCTTCTTCGGGGGGTGGTTTGATCAGATTGGGTCTGAGTAGGGCCATAAGCCCAATATTGGAGTATGAACAGGGCCCATCCCTACATCGGCTTGGGCTTGTTGGAGGGAACGGCCTGGTTGGAAGTCCGTATGTATTTTCCATAGAAGTGTATCATCACATGGAAGAGGGCCTCTTCACTATGGGTTGTTTGTTCATCTCAGGTCCCCGTATCATATCGGATATATCCGCAGTTCTGTAAGATACGTTTTTCTTATCTCATGGTCATGGCCAGGGGTCAGATGACTCAGTAATTTTGTATCATTTTTGTATTTCTTTTCTTTGGGGGAAAATGATACCGGTTTGGGGTACCAAATGACAAACGATGCTTGACCCATAACACGTGTGCATGCGAGGGTGCTTATTCTCATGCAATGATCTGAACGCTTCCAAATCACATGGTTTTCTATCTCGAAATTTGTTTGGGCTTTGGGCTTTGGGCTTGATCCAAAATACCCGTTTATCCCCAAAAAAAAAACTCACTACAAAAATAGAATTTTGGTGGCCATCAACATTTCCTTTAATGGGGTTGGTCCAATGGGGAAATTGAGATAATAAAGAATTGGTTCTTATCACAGAGAGACCCCACAAAAGCAAATTAGTGGGATTCGGGGGAGGAAAAAAAAAAGGAAATTGTTCTTTCTCAACGATTCTGGTCTCAAAGGTCACACGATTCTTGCATGGACCAACAGCTGCCATAGCATTTTGGTCTTCTTTGTTAAATATACCTAACATTATTCATATGCGTCCGGATATTCTTGTTCACAATAACATTGGCCCCAAACTCGACCATAATAATCACAGAACCCCCATCTGCGTTACACGCATGAACTAAAAATATTAACATCATGGATTCGAATCGATAACAAACAAAATTTACGGATTTATATGCCATAGAGGGAAAAAAAACATAATTTGAAAAGGGAAAACGATTAACAAAAAGGAAAAATAAAAATAAAAAGAGAAGGCAAGTTGGGGCGGCGGATATATCGAAGGCGCGAATTCCAAGGACGCTTCCCCCTCCGAATTTTTATTTTATTTTTTGCGTTGTTCGTTTTCCTGTCTTGATTCAGTTTCACTCCCTCACTCTTTGCAAAACCGAACCTCAATTCCCTGATTCCATTTTACTACGTTCTGCTAAGGTTGTTCATTTCAGACCCAGATCAGGGATTTTCACAATTCTGTAAGATACCTTCTTCTTGTCTCGTGTTTCTGTTTCGACCCGGATCAGATAACTCTACAATTCTGGAACATTTTCTCTTTTTGGGAAAAATGATGTTTGGTTTCTTTCTGAAATCTGGATTCTGTAAGGTTTATGTCGGGTTTATTGATCTTCACTACAATTTTGGATCTGAGGCATCTGGGTATCAGATATCAGCATTTTTTTTTTTGCATAGAGGATGATCAATGTGCACGTGAGTTCCCGCTAAAAAAGCTAGATTTTACCATCATTTGGACTGCATGTTGATAAAATGGGTCCTATGGAGTTGATTAGATATTAAACTTTTGCTTGATTGACGTTTGTTTGATGAATGTTGTCCTAAGATTGACAATGTTTTCTTTTTCTTTCTTTTTTTGTCGTAGGATCTCTAAGGTCTGAAATGGCGGCGACTGTTTCTGCTGGAAACATCCGTGATTTCTATCTTGCTGGCCAGGTTTGCAGGCAATCTTCCTGGGTTTCTGGTCATTCCTTTAGGACAAATCCTTGGAAACAGCTCTCTTGGTATCGATTCTAATCTCGACTGTTTTATTCCTCTGTACCTATTGACTTCAAGATTCATGATGAGTTTGAGTGTTTGCATGCAGAAAAAGCTTCTGGCTTTGTGATCTCCCATTATCTGCATCCTTTGATCTTTTGAATGAATGACCACCATCTTAACTTTTGGGACTGTATCTTCTTTCACTGGTATTTTGCCTATCAGGCCGCGTAGAGTATCAGAGGTGTTAAAGGTTGAGAAATGCGGGTGTTACTCTCGTTTTCCAAACGATGAGGGCTCAAAGCTATCGAAATCTGTCATCAGGGCATCGTTGGATTCAACAAAGTATTTCGATTACGCTGTTATAGGGAGCGGAGTGGCGGGTCTGCGCTATGCACTAGAAGTTGCAAAGCATGGGACAGTTGCAGTGATCACCAAAGCAGAGCCTCATGAAAGCAACACTAATTATGCTCAAGGTGGAGTTAGCGCTGTTTTATGCCCTTTGGACTCTGTGGAAAGCCATATGCATGACACTATTGTTGCCGGTGCCTATCTTTGTGATGAAGAAACCGTTAGAGTAAGTTCTGGAACTTAGGCAGAAACGGCTAAAAAGCCATCATGATGTTCTTCTTCTTCAGCGTATATCAATCAGACTTATCTATGGTGCTATGTCCTTTGTTTGTCCAGGTGGTGTGCACAGAAGGGCCTGACAGAATACGAGAATTGATAGCACTGGGAGCGTCGTTTGATCATGATGAGGATGGTAACTTGCACTTGGCTAGAGAAGGCGGGCATTCGCATTGTAGGATAATTCATGCTGCTGATATGACGGGAAGAGAGATCGAGAGAGCTTTACTTGAAGCTGTCCTCTACGATCCCAACATCTCTGTCTTCAAACATCATTTTGCCATCGATCTTCTCACTTCTCAGGTTCACTTCTCGCCTTAGAACGAGAAAGATTTCTGACTTGCGTCTCTAAGGTTGCTAGATTTGTAGACTATAGCATATATTCACCTCTCCCAGTTACTGTGTATAGTTCTTATAGCCGAGCTTCTTGGTTACTGGTGTTGCAGGATGGTTTGATTACAGTTTGTCATGGTGTTGACACTTTGGATACCATCACAAACGAGGTATACATATATATATATATACACACATATATAACAGTCTCTTTTGCCTTGTCAAGCCGATGAATGGAATTGTAACTCTTTATTTGTTTGCATAACACAATGTTCCTTCAGGTGGTGCGTTTTATATCAAAGGTGACATTGCTTGCATCAGGTGGAGCCGGGCATATCTACCCATCAACCACAAACCCCCCGGTACATAGTCTTAGGATGTTTTTTTCTTTTATTACCGCATGTTAGTAAGAGAGCTTCAACAATGACAGTGAAAGCTTTATCGATATGTTTTTCTTCTCCTATAGGTGGCCACTGGAGATGGGATCGCAATGGCTCACAGAGCTCAAGCTGTGATCTCAAATATGGAGTAAGTTATCACAGCAAAAGAAGAAACAAAGAATGACATGTTTTCTTGCATAATAACGTTGAAGAAACCTGTTTTTGCTCTGTGTTGATTCAGATTTGTGCAGTTTCACCCGACGGCTTTAGCGGACGAGGGCCTCTCTATCAAACCCCGAGAGCCCCGAGAAAACGCGTTTCTCATCACCGAAGCAGTGAGGGGAGACGGTGGCATTCTGTACAATCTGAGTATGGAGAGGTTTATGCCAATGTACGACGAGAGGGCCGAGCTTGCTCCCCGTGATGTCGTTGCGAGAAGCATCGATGACCAGCTCAAGAAACGCAACGAGAAGTACGTGTTACTGGACATTAGCCACAGACCCAGAGAGAAGATTCTTGCTCACTTCCCCAACATTGCATCTGAATGCCTCAAACACGGATTAGACATCACCCGTGAGCCGATCCCTGTCGTCCCGGCGGCTCATTACATGTGTGGAGGTGTTCGGACCGGTTTACAAGGCGAGACCAACGTCCTCGGCTTGTACGTGGCCGGGGAAGTGGCTTGCACCGGTCTTCACGGTGCGAACCGGCTCGCCAGCAACTCTCTTCTGGAAGCCCTGGTTTTCGCGAGACGGGCGGGTCCGGCCTC